CAACAGTTCAATGTGACAGGCTCTCAATGATAAGCATATGTTAATTATTTTTTCTGGGTCAGAACTAGAAAGCGCAAAACATCAACAAAGTGAATTCTAGACAGGAAAATCTCTGCTAAGAAATGTATATTCCCCTTTTGCTTTCTGTTTGCAGATCAGTTGTATGATGGCTAGAGAGCATAGCTACTGCTGTCACACCAGCCTCATGAAAAGGAGGACGATATAGAGGACAGCTGGATATACAGCACCCGATGGGGATGTGCTCTTCCTCCCCGCAGGCTGGTGCAGCTCCTGTTGCAGCACATGCTGTCCACAAGGAGTCCAAACTCAATGCAGCACCATTCTTCCAAAGGGGGCCTAGCTTTAAGCCACAGTCTAGTCCCAGAATTCAAAGTGCTTCTTAAATAGCCTATATATATATCCTTTAAATAGTTCAATTGCTTACAGCTCAGATCACTTGTTTGTACTGGAAATTAATTAGTCAGTTCTTTAAATACCTTTTTGTTTACGACCAGGTGGAAGCATGCCGTAATGTTCTCTAGTTTGTCAAACAGAATTTGATACACCTGTTGACAGCTTCTTAAGATTTCTTGTCCTTGAAGGAGAAAGTTCTTTGCTTTTCTAATCACATGATAAATGCAAAAAGGTCATGATCAGTCCCAACTACCACTGGGGAGATTGGTCTCCCTCATTCTGCCTTCTGTAACATTTGTTTTGACTGTCCATTGACTCTGAAATAGTTAAGCTTCTTTAAGATTAAACTGTTTTTCTTGAAATTTACAAAGAATAGAATTTATTTTTCATTCATTCCCTTAACTTTGTACAGACACCTAGAGTTTAACTTTGTTCTTTCGATACCTCAAACTATATATTGCTTGAAAAGCAAAAAGTACAACTGATTTGAAAATTTCTAGAAATAGAAATGAATATATCAGCTCATTTTGACCTTCCACATGGAAAAAAATTAATAAATTAAACATTTATGCCAGTTCTCATTATCAGAGTGGCTGGATGCAATTGTACGGTCCTCATTTCGCTCGCTCAGTCCTTGCTCTGACTCCGCTGGTGATTCTGTGTCAATTAAAAGAATTACCAACTTGTCTAACATCCTTAAAATATAGATATTGTCTATTAGTGCTAAAGTTATCTTTACCGTGCCATGCAGACAATGTCACAGCACACTCCTCCTTTGTAGTAACAGATTTACACTAGGGTTTAAATTACAAGATACCAATAGAAGCTAAAGGAAAAGTTGAACCTATACCCAAACATACAAAATGCAAGAAACAAAAAAGGATTGGTCTGAGAAATGCTTAGCTGCATTACTGTTTGCGGCACTAGAGCTTTGGACAAAAAGTGTTATAACTTGCAGTGTATGACTAGCCACCCATAGCTCATACATGGCAGATTATTATAAATATTATGCAAAATATATCTGTACAATCCCATACAGATCTGTAAGTGCTCAGTAGGACTTTTTTTTTTTATGCGTTCTTTCTCTTCTAAAATGACTACTGTGTAGAACAGATATATATTAAGAATGATGTATAAAGACAACCCCATAGTAAAGTCCCTTTTAAATACATAGATCAGGAATTAAAACAATGAACATGGTCTAATATTCATTAAACACTATTTTTGTTTTTGTTATTTTGTAAACTGAAGGACCAGCTTTGCAGAAATACATATACAGTATGACCCTTTGATTCATTAAAATGCTTACTAATTTCAAAGGGAATCTGTTTGAGAACAGTAGTGTTTTAAGGCTTCTACCTCATTATCAATAAATATTTTAATATTCGAACTAAAGAAACATTTTTTGTGAATGCTTACACAGCATTTTTAGTACTTGTGCAAATTCTTACTAGACCCTAGAGCATTATCAAGTTTCACTCCGATAAGCCTCTGAAAGGAGTCTTGCTGGGAAAAAAAAAAAGACAACCTTGCATATTGTGCCTATAAAAAACATCAAGATGCTCAAGATGCTCACAGTACTCTTATGAATAGAATTAATATTGGGACTAAGTGTTTACAGATGTAAGCCTTTAAATAGAATCCAGTGAGCAAGAATTGAATTTACTTTACTCCAATGTCTCTTACCCCCGCAAAAAACTCTAGAAAATAAATCAAATAGGGTTCAATGCAGAAAAAGGGGTTGATCTTGCTGACTAAAATATTGAAAATTTTATGCCTTCTTTTTCTCTGTAAAGTCCCTTTACCTTTTGCATGATTCCTGCAGACTTAAACTTGAGGCCTGCAGTTAAAGGGACGTCATCAGCTCATACATTACATTACTATCAAAACTATTTCTTTTCTTTCTTAACCGATTATTATTAATTATAGGTTATTACTCTTTGTTTTAAACACAAAATGATCTATACAATATACACTTTACAGTAAATCATGATTCCTGTGCAAGAGTTTAAAATCTAATGCAGAAGGACAAATATAAATATAATTACATATTTAATTTTCAGAATTTTTAAAATTAAATATATATGGTATATATCTTTTGTATCACTATACATCATATGCACTGATATTTTTATGATTAAAGAAGTGCAATTACACTTCACTGCTGCTTAACTTATAGTACTAATTCATTGCAGTATAACAAAAATACATAATTTTAAGTGGAAATCTGATGAGGTAGACAGCTGAGTTTTGCTAGAGTTTTCAGGATGGGTTCCATATATTGCAAAGAGCGTGACAGATCATACGTCACATATGGCAATTTTATCTGAGGTTGATGACCAGTTCCACTTGTCACGTACATGAACTTGATTCCATCAGCTTTGTATTATTTTAAATCACCAGATGGCACTTTTCCCTGCCATAAAGGCTTACGATCTGAGCGTGTAGGAGTTGGACCTGGGAGAAACAGCCGGCTGACCTGTGATTCTTTATAGATGTATAGATGTTATAGAGCACATTACCAGTAAAACGCTTGTTTTGTTTTAATCTCTATCCTATTCAGTTAAGAATATTCTTTCTTAAAATAGTTGCTGTAGACAAGCTATGCCTACAGAAGTGGAAAAAAGAAGAAAAATACTCACATTTGCAAACACACAGACTCTGCCCAGCTACATTTTTGCTAAAGGCACACACTCCCTACAAAACTATACTAAAAGCTGCAGTTCTGATTAAAATGATATCGGCAAAATGAAATAAAACAGTGTTGAAAAGTTTGTCTGCTTCTAAGTACCACTATAATTTTTGTTTTTCTGTTTTGATTATGTACTTCAAGTAATTCTCTCCCTTGCTTCTATGTGCAATCCACAGGAAGAAAAAAAAAAAAAATCACAAAAGTATGCAGTCATGGCAAGAGCTCACAGTGAAGTATGATCATGATTCATTATCATCACATACTAATGGAATATCTCAGCGGAAACATCATAAAACACTGTTTAAACATCATGCCGTGACTATTTTATCATCTCTGTAGCTACATTGCACACATCTCTCTCACTCTCCTGCTTTCTTCTGTTATGTGGGTCAGGAAGAGTGCTTCCTTTCTCTTTGACTTTTGGGAGAAGGGAAAGGATGATTTATTGGGTTTTTTGTTTGTCTTTTCTCCTCCATTCATTTCCACCTTCTAACTATTTCAGGGGATAGGAGATTGGTAAGTCAATTTTGCGTGACGATGTGAAAAACGGCTTTTCTGGAAGGAAGTTAAAGAAAAAGGTATTCTAATCATATAGAAATTTCACTAAGGTTGCATACAGTATAATGAAAAATGGCTTGTCTAAATAGGCCTCCTTTATAGAGATTTTGCAAGGATTTGGGGTCATCTCTACCTTAATCGTGTAGTAATACCTTTCTGTTGTCTTCTCTTTTTTTTGAACAGGCAAGTGTCTGTTTTTATTGTTGAAGAGCTACAATACACCAGTTCTGCCTGAGGATGGGACTATACAAATAAACACTGTTCCAGCCACTACTGATAAAACAAAGCATTTATTTATTGATTGATCTCCCAAGTATTACCTTGCTTCATAAATAGTTTATGAACAATGTGTTTTCTAGATTTAAGGAGAAGCAAATAATAAACAAATACAAGTAAATACAAATAGAAAACGAATACAAAAAGAGGTTAAAAATACTCATAGGAAATAAGCGCGAAAACTTTGCTGTTGACAAGTTTTGGCATTCTCAGTTTTGTATTTTGACATATTTAATTCCATAGCCTTAGTAAGCGGTAAGTCGTCAGAGCTCTACTGACGTCAGAAGAGTTGTGAAGATGACAGCTAAAATTCTGGCCTTTAAGCTGTCAGCCTACTGCAGAGAAATCAAAGACAATTTGGCTGAGTTTTGAGCTCAGTAAGCAAAGAATTTGACACTGAGACTTTAAACTGTGATAACAGGGATGACACAAGAACAGCACAAAAAATCAGCAAGTTATCTCCATGAAATAAATTCAGCCCCAAATAACGTATAAACAACCACTGTAAAATTACCAGTGCATTCACCATTAGCAAAACTGTTTGGGTTGGCTGGAGGTTTTTTTTGTTTCCTGTTACATATGAAAAATAGAGTCAGAAATTAGTTTTGCACCTACTTCAGTCAAAGCAATCTAATAATTTTAAAGTGCCTACAGCTAAAGCTAGTCATAGGACATTGAGTTCTGAGGTTGCAAAAGACTGAAATAAGCTACTTATGTCAGTGAAATATACATCCAGATTGCTTGCTTTGGCGAAGCCTATCACTCTTTATTTTAAAAATTTCTGTCACTGCAGAAGAACCAACCGTGTAACTGCTCAGTGAGGCCAAATAGCCTTTATTTCATCCATTCCCTGCTTCACATAGGGGGATTTTGTTATTGCTGCCCTCCCAAAATCTTTATGAAAATAAGAGGTTTATTATGAAGACTTTTCTTAAATTTGTAAATAAAATTGATATTGCATGTGTAAATTACATCTTACTTCAGGATACACGGGATTAATTTCCCCTGTCAGCTCAGGCTATAGTCTTCCTTCCCACATGCTGCTATGGAAATCATCTACCTTGCCTGTTGGCTCAGCTCATCTTCAAATCTTGTTTCTGCCCTCGTTCATCTTTCCATATTAGTTGTGAGCTTCTTGAGCTTCTTCAGGGCTGTGTTTCTGCCAACACTCTGTGCTCTTTATCACAGTCCTATCATTCTCCTAACTCAAGCCAAGTCATACAGCCACATAACCACTTCCTCATAACCTTCACTCCAACTCTGATTTACATTTCACATCCATCAGTTCTGAAATCTGACCTGAGCTACACTGACGCTTCCCTCTTTTTAAAGTTCCTCTTTAGAAGACTCATCTTTGAACTCTCTGTTTTCTCAGAATGTTAGTAAAATACATGAAGAAAAAATGTCAACCCAATCTATAAAACCTGATGAGACTGGAGAGTGTCACCACTTAGTCATATTAATACTTGTTATAACTTTGCAGAAGTAGAAATAGGGTCAGAATATTTCTTCTGTAAAGTGCTTCATATGCTTTTGTCAATATATGCCATATAGTCATTAAAAAGCTGATAGCAAATATTGTGCAATGTGTGTTAGCGCACTGACTTGTCTTACATTTAATTAGGCAATTAGTTTTGCATGGATTACCACAGTAACCTGAAACTACCTATTACCACTAAGTAAAGCTAAAAGAAAATAGAAAAACAGCACATTACCTGGCAGAGAGCTGCTGTCCAAGACAGTAATCTGAACTTGATAGATACAGAGCCTTTGTTCAGTTTGAACATTTAAAGACTCTTTGGAGACCTGATTGGCTGATGATCACACATGATGTTTGCATGGTTTATTTTGTGTGACCAATTGCCAAATCAACAAGCATCTCAAATTACTGAGGCACAAGAGGTTATAATGATTCTCAACGTTGAGAACATGATCCCATAGAAGGGCATTCTTGGTTTACGAACATTACACTGCCTGTTTAGGATTTCTTTCACAGGTTCTTTGTCTGACATACAGGACATTTCCGTCCTCTGTAGAAAGGTGCATATTTAAAAGTATATTTAGATGCTGTAGCCTCTAAAATGAGTGCTAATATGTGGGGACATCTGAACATAGATTATGCCTAACGCTACAAGAGTTCAGCATATACAGCGATGCTAGGTGTTAACCTGCTTTTTAAAATATATAGTAAGTTAAAAATCAGTATTAACATGATTTTGTTCAACTAATTAAAAATATAATAAAAATGCTCTAAAGATCATAGGCAAAACAGAATGCAGCTAACATGCTGCAGACATCTAATGTTTGAACAAAACTGTCCAGCAATTAACTATAAATATGCAATTAACTTATACTTTTTAGACTGCTCCATTTGCAGGCATAGTAAAATTCCACTTTACATTTTATGGAGTAATTAGAAACTTCTTTGTATTAATAAGCAGTGCTGGCTGCTAAACTAATTAAAAAGCTGCATTTTGCTGGAGAGAATGAAGAATTTGCTTTAGAGATGCAGAATTTATTTTATGTTATTTCCTTCATTTTACAAAAACTTACCATTTTTATATAGGACAAAATCTAATCATCTGCAATACTAATGACAGAATAAACGAACACATAAAACACAAATTGTATCTTAGAACAAATCATAACTTCATTCATTAATTCTGAGTAAAATTCATTTGCAAGTTCATATCAAAACCCTTTCCTTTATAATTGCAAAAAATGACCTTAACTGTCTTCCTAGAAGAACAAACAAACAAAAGTGTACGTGTTGTTACAATCATAATTTTTCACCCATCTCACTTACCATACTTGTGTTGACTCAGTATACAATAAGGATGAATAAGGCCTAGAAAGGATGAAATTGCACGCCGAAATTAAATGGAAAAAAGAAAACTGAATGCTCAGGTTAAAAAAAAAGTTGAAACTTACATTTGTCCACTGTGCAACTGACATTAAGGCCTCAAAGCTCTTACAAGTACTTTGCTTGGGAATTTTAAGCAGTCTCTGGGACAAATCTTTTAAGAAAATTACTGTTATTTTCACTGCCCAGCATTTTGAACGTTCACAGGGGAAGAAGCAATTCTTACAGTGAAGAATTTTTAATTTACCTGAAAATAGTGATGTTAATGATGATCGACATTTCTAAAACTTGAGGCTATCTCACATAAAAAGTGAGATGAGTTTTAGAACTGCTATAAGCACATCCAAAAAGAGTGGTTTAAATAAAATGACTAGACTATTTATGAGAAAATATTATCATTTAATTGATCTCCATACTGTCTAAAATTTTAATTTGAATCTGAAATGGTCCCTTCAAGAAGGATGAAATACACTGGAGATAAAATGTAGCAGTGATAGGTAAACCTCTGACGCAAAATTGCAGCAAGGACTCTTTGAAACGGTCTTCATCTCAGCACTGAAGACAACGGCAGGAAGGGAACATGTTTGCTGACATGTGCACATAAAAAGAGGATAAAAAGGAAGTAAACATAGGTTGCTGAACTCTGATAGAAAGCATGTGGTAAGAACAATAGCGCGTTTCCTATTATTGGAAAGAAACAGGAAGTGAGCTATTGTTCGTGCTGGACACCCTCTGTTAGATTGTGAAAACTGACATCGAGTTCGAGGTACAGCTTTTTTCTTGTGTCAGCAAACACGATCCCCCGCCACGGCCGCCAGCAGCAAGCTCTTCCTGCTGCAGGATCCCTGCTCCCCGTCCAGCCCCGGCAGAGCCGGGGCAGGGGTAGGCAAAACCCGCTCCGACCTCGAGATCTCTGCATCTGTAAAATCAGGCACGGAAAGAGGGAATGACCACGGGCATCCTTTCGATGCCTCTAGGTGAATTCGCAGCCGTCCACAGGGGATACTGACCGCAGGGTCAAGAGCGGCCAGCACAGCAGAGCTCCGACTTGGCACCGCAGCTGTGGATCATGGCTAGCTTTTGTCCATCCCCTTCAGAGAGCAAGCAGAAGGGTTTAAATCTCCGCCTACAGCAAGGCTAATCTTCTAAACTCAGGGAACTGAGCGAGGTAGGAGGTCAGGGCTAATGTTAAAGTGTGCTTCTGAGTGACAGAGCTAATTGGCGCAGGGCACATTAGTGGCAGTCGCTTGCCTCGCGGTTCATTGCCAACTTGAGCTTGACAAAAACAAAGTTAAAAGTTAATACTGTCATGGACTCTTGCCTATAAAAATGTATAGATACCAGTAAGGCTATTACTCAACTCACCATAGCAGACTAACGCACAAGTGTATTTTGTTAATAGTAACAGCAGTGAATTTTTACATCCAGCTGCTCGAGAGCTCCTGAGAGAGATGCCTAGATGCAGCTGCTTTACTGCACCTTGCTGCCCGCTGGCACATATCCGTTAATTTTAACACTTCATTTCTGGAATGCAGACATTAGAAAGAGGCCGAAATTTTCTTCTGAGACCATGAGCTTAAACTGTAAAAACTGAAGCAAGTTCACAGTAATCGTTTACTTTGGATGCTTATCTGAGCATTTTTAGGAACAGTTTTCCTCCTCACTAATGTCTGTTCCAGTACAATACACTGCTTATTTGCAGAAATTGAAATATTAATCTCTTTTTTCACACAGCCATTTTTTTAATATCACAGCTCAATTTTTCCTTCAAGCACAACCTAAGGATGTTGGTTTTCTTGAAAGAATGCTTTCTGCTAGCAGTGGCAATAGGCCTTAAAGCTATGTAGTGGTTTGTTCAAACAACAGCGTTTTGGTCACACAGTGTTTTCTGCTGCTGTGAATTGTTTTTGCTTAATCCTCTGCAAGATGTCAGATATTGAGTAAGAGTCTATATTTCTTCTGCTTCTCACTAGTATATACTTGTAGCTGCCCACATTTTAGGATAGGTCTAAGTTTGCATTAGGGGCCTGGAAGGCACCGTTTGGCTTACACACGCTTTGTGACTGTTTTTGAACTGAAGAAGGAATTCATTACATCCATCTTCAGGTATCTGCAGTGCTGACATCTACATGTGATCGGGATATCTAGATTCCACGTATAGTCAATGGACAGAAGTTGACATAGTCAACAGACTTGCGGGACGTATTTCGTTGACCTATTTTAGATATCTAAGTTACAGTGAAATAATTCATAGTCCCAAGTGCCCATATCTCTTTGTTAGGTATCAAGTGTGTCTAGGATAACTAGATCAATTACAGATATCTACGCTGCTTAATCCTGCATTTGATCAGATTAATCCAGTCCTTAAATGGCCATAATATGGTTTCTTGGTATTGCGGGGGATTGGAAGTAATGACCCCGTTCCTCTTTCCATCTAATGTTTTTATATCTTAGTTTTGTTGGGGTTAGAGGTTGTTTTTCTTGTTTATTTTTTAACACTTAATGAAACAGGAAACTGAAAAATAAATGTTTTGGATTCCAAAAATGTTCTTGTAGCCTTGTTTGAAATAGATCCATGACTAAACAGTACAGTGTTGAAATCTGAAATTTTGCAATCCCTTCTGTACTGCTGAGAAAAATAAGTTCAGTTTGGCTGAGTAACGAGTCTTTGAAAAGCACAGGCTGCAATCCTTATATGTTGTGCAGGATTTTATTTTGCTGTGTTTGTAAAATGTGCAACTCAGGAATGCTGCATTATGCACATTTTTGTGGCTAGCATGGCTATATAGAAGAAAATGTATGGAAGGTGCAGATAAACTATGTCATGCTTTACGTACATACTATAGCCAACTAATATTATCTTTTTTGAAAGTTAAGTCTTATACAGCAAAAGCAAATATCCAGTTGTCTGGCTAGTCAAACAACAGTGATAATTTCAAATTCCATATATGCAATTTTAATTCACAATTTGTTGAACTAAATCATTGCAGAAATCATCCAAATAAAAACCAATCAAAAACTGAAACAATGTTCAATGCCTTATAGAAGAACACAGAGGACAGCTTACCTTATGGAAAGATTGGACAGTCACCTAGAGCTGCAGAATTGGAGAGGCAGCATTTTAGAGCTAATTTATGATTTCACTCATTAAATAGCTAATAAGATACTAATTGTTATAGTATATAATACTTTGTTTTCTATTTCTCTGTTTTTTTGTAAGAAATAGCTGAATATGAGGCATTCTGAAAGTCTACGAAGATGCCTTGTATTAAAAATTCTTTCATGTTAATGCTGGAGAAGAGGCAGCAGAATATATTTAACCCAAGAAAACAAAATAGCTAGGACTGTTCCTGATGATACAGATGTGGAATTTTCATCAGGGACAATTCACAGCTGACCAGAAAAACAGTAACTATTTGCCAGAGAAATTGGCAAGGCTTTCTGAATAAGCTCAAGAATTCCCTAGTAGATCTGTTTGTGGGGGAAAAAAAGGCAAAATTAATTTAAAAGTATTCTTGGTAGATTATTTAAAAAGCATTATAATGCAGGCCTGAAATTCTGTTGGCCTAGATAACTGCAGATACATAACAGCTTGAGTAAGACATGCCATAGGGTGTGCCAGGACTTAATAAAAACAAGTTTGTGTGTGTTAGGTATGAAGAAAATGCAAATTTGAAAGTTACATTGTATGTCACATTGCCCAACATTGTGTGAAAGTGCATCCATCCCTTTAGCCTGGTTGTTGGTTGATTCTTCCGTAAGTCCTCACTTGCAGTGGTTAGCACCAAGGGATAGTAACGGGTGAAGGGAGAAGACCATGAG